AGGAAAGGAAAGGAAAGGGAGATAGAAAAAAGGAAAGGAAAGGAAAGGAAAGGAAGATAGAAAAAAGGAATGGAAAGGAAAAGGAGATAGAAAAAAGGAAAGGAAAGGAAAGGAAAGGAAGATAGAAAAAAGGAAAGGAAAGGAAAGGAAAGGAAGATAGAAAAAAGGAAAGGAAAGGAAAGGAAAGGAAAGGAAAGGAAAGGAAAGGAAAGGAAAGGAAGATAGAAAAAAGGAAGGGAAAGGAAAGGAAAGGAAAGCAGGTTAGGGTCTAATTTCCAGAGGTTTCAGTAGAAAATATAATTTTAGCATTCTTGTACCATAAAGTAAGAATCCTGAGGAAAGAATCAGTGGCTTTTAACTTTCCCCCCCCCCCCAATTCTGATTTTATTTATTTATTGAACCTACATGGTCTTCCATCTTAAACTTACAGCTGTGGGCAGCTAAAGGAGAATAAAAACTAGATAACGACGCCCTAAAAATAAAGGCGAGTGGAACGAAGCTTCACCCTCATCCTACAGACTCACACCTGACCCGTCACAAGACCCCTCACTCGACACACCCACACCTGAAGCCCTTATCAACAGAAGACTGACACTGACATCCCCCTCAACTCCGCTGAAGACGTTACCCAGCCTGGTAGTGAAACGTTCGGAAACCAACCCACAAGCTCGGAGGACGAACCTTCACGCTCCTGTTCTTTTTCTTTTCTTTTTTTGATATTTTAAATGAGTCTTGAACTGGATTTTCTTGCACAAGCACACACATATATATATTTTCAACACTTATATAAAGAAGCATTCAAACACCTGACTCTTTTTCCCAGGCCAATGTAGCACAAATCAGAAGGGTGGTGGTTTCTCTGCTTCTGCTGCCCCTCCGCTGTTTCGGTGGCAAGACTTACTCCTTCAAGATACTCCCGGCTCCAAGCCGTTCCATAAGATTGGAAAACTGCTCTTCTTCCTCGTGTCCTTCTGCGACGCTCCCCTTCGCTTTAGGATGGAAGCTGGTTCCAGTTCCACGGGCCTCGGCCAAGGATTCCTTCCTCCCAGACAAAAACTGGCCTGCGGGTTTAAAAAAAAAATTGATTTTATAAAACAGGTCGGCCCTCCAGATATTTGCAATAAATGAAAAAAAAAACCACTAGTTAGCATGATAAATAAATCCTATTAAGCTATTCTCCAAGGCGCCTGAGGGAAGGACGAGAAGCAACGGATGGAAACTCATCAAGGAGAGAAGCAACCTAGAACTAAGGAGAAACTTCCTGACAGTTAGGACAATTAACCAGTGGAACAACCTGCCTCCAGAAGCGGTGAATGCTCCAACACTGGAAGTTTTTAAGAAGAGACTAGACAGCCATATGTCTGAAATAATATAGGGTTTCCTGCCTGAGCAGGGGGTTGGACTAGATGACCTCCAAGGTCCCTTCCAACTTTATTATTATTATTATTATTATTATTATTATTATTATTATTATTATTATTATTATTATTATTATTATTATTATATTAGCTTCTGCAATCTGGAAGAAAAAAAGCATGTCGTTTTTCAAAGATTACAACAAGAAGAGCGTCAAAAATTTTACATCTATTAAACCGTTTCCAGATAATCCTCGACTTTCAACAGCTCGTTTAATCACTGTTCAAAGTTACAACGGCCCTGAAAGCGACTTACGAGCGTTTTTCACGTTTACGACCGTTGCAGCGTGTCCCCCCCCCCCAGGGCCACGTGGTCAAAATTCAGCCTCTTGGCAACTGACTTGTATTTATGACGGTCGCAGCGTCCCCCCCCGGGTCACGTGATCCCCTTTTTGCGACCTCCTGACAAGGAAAGTCAACGGGGGGAACCCGGACTCATTTAACGACCAGGTTACTAATTTAACAACTTGAGTTATTCATTTAACAAATGTGGCAAGAAAAGTCATAAAATGGGACACCACTTGCTTAAGAAATTTCTCACTTAACAATATCAATTTTGGGGGGCTCAGTTGTGGAGGTAAGTTGAGGAGTACCTGTAAAATGGGGCAAAGCTGATTTAACAACTGTCTCACTTAGCAATGGAAAGAACTACCTATATATTATTACCTATATATTAATTCTTTCCAAAAGAGCAGAAGGACTTAGGTTTCAATATACAGGAGTGGCCAAAACTGTGGAAACCTTTTGGGGAAAGTGTATTTTTGAGGTTTGGTGGCTAATAACACCACTTTTTCTTTTGGAGTAGTACCATAAAATTATATATCAATGGAAAGATAATTTAATCAAGAATGTCGTGCAACAAAGTTTGTTCAATTATCTGTACTGTGTTCTATGAAAAGTTGTAGCCAAATAACCAGAAAAAGGAAGCACAACTTGCTCAGGTTGATCTCAGGTAGCTTTCCTTCATCTGATGGTAGCCAATGAGCGTGAGTGTTTAGAGAGCCAATCGGCTGTCATCTTTTTTTGGCCATGAGCCAATCAGATCACAGAAGGATCCAGTGATTGATGTCCTGTATTGAAGCTGAGAGGAGGACATTGGTCAGGGTGTTATGTGATCGCTATCAAGTTGGTTGGGTTTTGGACTAGATGACCTCCAAGGCCCCTTCCAACTTTATTATTATTATTATTATTATTATTATTATTATTATTATTATTATTATTATTATTATTATTATTATATTTTTTGTGTTCTTTCATTGAGTGAGCTTGTAAAACGTAATAAAATGAAAGTAATGGTGCAAAGACTTGACTGGTCGCCCAGAAAGCGATGTAAAATAGTATTTATTAAGCGAACAAGGCTACAGTTGTAAAGAAATTAGAAGAAAAACGGGTGGAAACTGAACCAAAGGTGGCATTTCTACGGTACACTTTTCCCAAAAGGTTTCCACAATTTTGGCCACTGCTGTGCCTAGGATGACAAATAGAGAACAAGGTCCAGGAAATGGCCTGGCAGCATCTCATGCTGCGAACATCTTTTACTGAGCACCACTAGCAACAGAAGCTCTGTTAAAGTCTCCATCAAAGCACCAATCGCCATTTCAGTCTCCATTAAATCACCCAAGATACCCATAATTGAGCTGCAGACTAAGCATCTACTAGGGCGAGCAATTTGCCTTGAGACTGAATAGCAAAGGAGGAGTTTGATGAATACTTCTGTCCTTCGGGATTTCTTCTGAGAAAAGCAACTGGCTATGGGGAAAAGGAAGAAAGAAATCTAAGCCTTGCCAAACCAAGCTGTGGGATTAGTCATCCAGGATATAGGAAGGAACCGAATCCGCCCAGAATGTTAAGGGTAGAAAGTAAATAGAGAGAATCGTTAGGATGGAACTAGCCTACCGAAGAGAAGGATGGGGGGGGGACATGATGGCTGTCTTTCTGTACTTGAGGAGCTGTCACAGAGAAGAGGGGGGCTCAACTTATTCTCCAAAGCACCAGAGGGCAGGACAAGAAGCAGCAGGTGGAAACTTGTTGAAGAGAGAAGCAACCTAGAAGTAAAGGAGAAATTTCCTGGCAGTGAGAACAATTAATCAGTGGAGCAACCCAAAGAAAGGAATGCCCCAATTAAAGGATCCCATTGGCTTTTCTCTAGATCAGTGGTTCTCAACCTTTTTAATGCCGTGACCCCCAACCGGTCGTAAGTCGAGGACTAAACCGGTCGTAAGTCGAGGACTAAACCGGTCGTAAGTCAACTTTCCCTGCCCGGGAGCGCCGTGCATGCATGGTTCCGCCCCCTGCGCCGGCCGAGGTGTAGCTGGGAAGCGGCAGAGACGGAGCAGGCCGACCACCAGCTGGCCCAGCCCAAGGGAGGTAAGGCACCCGCCGGAAAAGGGGGAAAAAATGGCGGACAGCCTTGCTTGGCGACCCCCGTGAAATGGTCGATCGACCCCAAATGGGGTCGCGACCCATAGGTTGAGAACCACTGCTCTAGATCAATACCACTTTACAAGGCTTTGGTAAGGCCACACTTGGAATGCGGCATCCAGTTTTGGTCACCACGATGTAAAAAAGCTGTTGAGACTCTAGAAAGAGTGCAGAGAAGAGCAACAAAGATGATCAGGGAGCTGTAGGCTAAAACATATAAGGAACGGTTGCTGGAATTGGGTATGTCTAGTTTAATGAAGAGAAGGACGAGGGGGGACAGGATAGCAGCCTTCCAGTATCTCAGGGGCTGCCCCAAAGAAGAGGGAGTCAAGATTAAGGGGGACAGGATAGCAGCCTTCCAGTATCTCAGGGGCTGCCCCAAAGAAGAGGGAGTCAAGATTAGGGGGGACAGGATAGCAGCCTTCCAGTATCTCAGGGGCTGCCCCAAAGAAGAGGGAGTCAAGCTATTCTCCAAAGCGCCTGAAGGCAGGATGAGAAGCAATGGATGGAAACTCATCAAGGAGAGAAGCAACCTAGAACTAAGGAGAAACTTCCTGACAGTTAGAACAATTAACCAGTGGGACAACCTGCCTCCAGAAGCTGTGAATGCTCCAACACTGGAAGTTTTTAAGAAGAGATTGGACAGCCATTTGTCTGAAATGGTATAGGGTTTCCTGTCTGAGCAGGGGGTTGGACTAGAAGACCTCCAAGGTCCCTTCCAACTTTATTATTATTATTATTACTATTATTATTATTATTATTATTATTATTATTATTATTGTGATGCTATTAAGAGATGAGAAATCAAACAATATAAACAAATACATAAAAGGACCAGCAGAAGAGGAATTGACAGCTAGCTGAATCACTTCTAAAGCGCTACACGGGCTGAGGACTCACTGAATCCGGTGGTGAATTCTTCCAGCGTAAGGGAGCCGTTGCCATCTGCATCCAGCGTGTCAAATACTCTCTCCAGCTCTTCTGGGGCAAGTGGTGACTGCCCGTGGAGCCTCTAAAACGACAATGTTTGCCTCAGTTACGCTGACGTTGCGTGTAAATGAAAAGGTTAATTTTAAAAAGATC